AAGCTGCCAACACCGGATGATAAGCTATGGCAAATATTTCATGTATAAATCATAGCCTTTCGCGACCAAGCGAGAAATTTTATTCAATAATAACAATAAGGGCTTCCTATTTATTGCATTGCGTTATAACCAAACTTTGCAGGTAGCATTATGGGTCGTTAAAATATGTTTGCTTGTTTTGTACAGTACAATATTTTGCTACCGTGGAAATGTGGCTTGGGTAAATAGATGACACTCACTTAAATTGTCTAGGGGATATTAAAAATGGAAACGTATTAACTATTATATGAAACCCCCCACACTCTATAAATTTGTAATGTGGGGCCTGTCTTATGTAAACTAATACGTGTTTCAATATATTACAACCTATTCCAATATAGTATGAAAAGTACTAATATATCATGTTATATGGGATATTTGTTACGCCTTCGATGTAATGTGTGTGATCGAAGCATTTCTATATGATATTATGCGTGTATTAATATATTATATAATATATTGCCTATTCCTCGCCTTTCAAATGGCGTTTAATTTAATAGAACATGTAAAATTAGTATTCCTATTTCATTTTGTTCAATATTGCATGTGATTGGTCGAAAAGCTGCCTCATCCCCTTGGAATATTTCATATTCTGTAATTTGTTTCCCACTTGCTGTCACAGGATATTATTTTGAGAGAAAAAAAACAATGAAACCTTTTCCCATTGATTTTATCAGTTCAAACATTTTTGTCAGATTTGATTGAGCTTTGAAATCTACAGCAAATATGGGTTTTTACTCGTCAAATAAAGAAATCCTATTTTAATGGCAGGCTATGTTTATTATGTGATTTATGTCCCAGAGTTCATTGCACGTGTTCAATTCGAGATATACGCCTAGAAAGCTCTTAACTCCATGTTATAAGAGCAATATTCTGGACAAAGATCTTTCAGACAATTTAAAAGCTTAGATGTCTGAGAGAACTTCCTTCAGAATATTGCATATTTAATTAATTGGGCCAAAATTCACTAAAAGTAAACCATAGTCTTACGCTTCTTGTCAGCCTGGCTACAAGCAATGTGCCCACTTTACAAGCCAGTTTGAAGTCTTACTGCACATCCAAATGAGAAATGACAAGGTTTGTGTCAGGATAAATTGCAGTTTCACTATAACATGTAGCTGAGAAAATTGGAATATTCAATCGTACAATCATCATCGTTCGAATATGCAAAAAGTTGCTTAAACGACAATTAGTTTCCATTGATTTGTTTTAAATTAGAAAATATATTCCTTTAAGTCGATGGTTTAAGTTTACTATGTCTAATGTCAGATGATTTTTTTTGTCAAGGGGAGTTAATCACACTGTTTGGCTATGTGTCTAGTTAACCCATTAAGTTGCATGACACCCATTGTGCCCTACCTTATTATTTTACTCTGTCTAATGCAAGACAATTTTACTCATCAAGAGATTTAAAATATTAATAACTCTTTTACCTTGTGAAGTAAAATTGTCTGGCATTAGACAGTGTGAGATAACTAGCAGGGGACATATTGCCATAAATGAGTCACAAAAGATGTGCACAAAACCCAATGCTTTACTCTTGACAAGTAAATCCATCTGGTATTAGACAGCATACTTTGAAGTAAGGTGCATTACAGAAGGCAGACTCAGCCAAAAATGTGTAACTGCCACCGTACCATGATTCACAAAGATTTGTCATGAAAATGCACTTGTCATGTTCCTAGCCAGTGTACATATGACAGGCATTTACCCCCCTGAACATCTGCCATTTTTAGTATTTTCAGGGGGTGAATGCCTCTTATAAATGCACTGGCTAGTAACATACGACAACGGCACTGCAACGGTTACCTCAAAATCATAGGCAAAGCCACTGTGGCCACTCTATTCTGTGATTTTGTCCTAATTTTTGCAATGCTGTTCCAGAAACTAATGTCAAGGTTAACACTGTCATCTTGTCAGATTGAGATAAGATTTTTTATAATACATCCACTCTTTGTCATTAATTGTGTTCTTCTCATTTACATTTTGATTAATAAATGTGCTCTAACCAGTGATGAAAAATTATCTTCAATTGTTCTCACATATATCTCAATTTCACTTTGATCTAAAGTGTTTTTGAAATGTATTCAACATATTTATATAATTGATCCGTCTGTTGGGATTTGACTGCTTCAAAATTAAGTCAATGCTTTGAAAACTTGTAAGTGTTTATGATTAATTAAGTAAATTTACTATTGTTTAGTATAAATGTTTTAAGTTTGGAAAATTGTGAAAATACAGAAATATTTTCCAAGGAGTGCTTTATTAGATATAAAACACAAGATGACAGCTGCGTGCCTTACTGTATATCTGTCAAAACATGGACAGTAGAGGTGTGGATCGGATTGGACGTTTACAGTATAATCCGACAATTGCCTAATGTTTAAAATCCGATCCGAAATTTCTAATCCGATCCGAGTTTTGATAAAGAATTCCGATCCGAAGAATTCTGTAATAAAATAAATTTCTCATTCAAGTTGAAATATTTAATAACCAAATAAATATAAAAGCAAGAAATACATGTCAAGAAGCTGACAAAGTGACGTCCAATTGAAGTATCAAACGAATAATGCAGCGACAACCGCGATAATGCTTTGATAAATGCATGGATAATTAATCCTTGTGATAATGCATGGATAACAACCCATTTTATGAGTTCATTGATGAAGTAATTTTAAAATTAAAAATTGTCTAAGCTGAGAAAATGAAATCTAAAGTGTATGTAAATGGACATGATTTTTTTATCACACATAAAACCACTGACACGGTAGTGATTTCTTTTGTCTTTTCCTTATTAATTAATTAATTATTATTTTGTATGGTATAATATGCATCTTCCTCAGCAGGTATTCTGTTTATATTCTGCTTTCTTAGACCCACACATGTTTTTTTATTTATATTTTCAGACAATTATTTTGGAAGTACTTGCAATGAATATATTGGACGTGGTTGATGTGTCAACCATACAGATTAAGAAAATAGTCGAGTTTATTGTTGAAAAATATGAATGGTGATGTTTCGTTTCAAAATGTACAAAGTTGCCTGACCATGGCTGCTGGCTCGGAGTAAGTTCACATAAAATTGGGTCAATATCCACATAAGCAGAGTTCAATAAATATAGGTTATTTTGAAATTTTGGGCCGCCTCTAGAGGCCCATTTCCACTCAGGAAAATTTTCCACAGAAAGAAAATTTTGCAAAATGTGATTGGCCGGCCGACACAAATTTTCTGTCGAATTTTTCAGAAAATCTTCTGTCCATGGAAATTTTTCTCGAGTGGAAATGGACCTTAAAGGCCCATTTCCACTCAAGAAAAATTTCCACGGACAGAAAGTTTTCCGAAAATATCATTGTTAAAAGTTGAAAATTTTCAACTTCAAAATTTTTTTCTGACAGAAAACTTGTGTCTGCCAATCACATTTTACAAAATTTTCTTTCAGCGGAAAATTTTCCTGAGTGGAAATGGGCCTTCACACTGGGATGCAATACACCTTCCGGAAAGTATGTCATCTAGGCTATGATAGAGCCTTGGTTTTGTGATTGATATGTTATGCTTTAACTAATGTTGCATACATGATAATGAGACTCTATATATAATTAACCTGATGTGTTAGTTTATGTATTTCTGTACGTCTGTTTATGTCAAAACGTCAGAGAAGAAAACTCCTACTGATCCAGACAAGATTTCTAAAGAAATGTTTCCAAATTTATAAACAAACTGCTGGGAAGTTTGGTTTGAATTTTAGGTTAACCTAGGGTTAAGATAATCGGCTTTCGAACAACCAGCCCCTAGAAAATATAAAGAGAATTACGGTGCTTTGAGCTGGAAAAGTAGATACAGTAGAGTAACAGAGAGTAACATCACAAACATATTCACCTGAGTACACAACACCAACACAGAAAAAATCATATTACTAGATTACATTGATTATTATCGAAGGAACTAGATTCTGTTCCAAAATATCACTTACTCGAACCGACCTGACCGCGTAGCTCAGTTGGCAGAGCGTTGGGCTGGTATTCCAAAGGTCGTAGGTTTGATTCCCACCGTGGCCGGGCATATTTTTCAAGCTCGCCCAGTGTGGATATACACTCAGAGTAACATCACAAACATCATATTCACCTGAGTAAACAACACCAACGCAGACAAGAAATAGATACAGCAGTTATATAACCTGTCCCCGTTTGCAGATCAAACTTTAATTTTTGAAATGTATTCTATATTCAGTCGGCAGCCAATCGAGTCATCTGTTGTACCTGCATGTGGAAAACCAACAACAAACTCTTTGACAAGATTGCCTGGTGTTAGGAACCACATTCCATATTCAGATCATAACTATGGCAAGCCATTAACACCACCAGACTCCTGTAGTCCCGATCACCCAGAGGAAGCTGATACTGGAAACGAAGATGAAGGATTTACAAGATGCATTTGGTACGAATGATAAAATTCTTGGAATTTTATTGACACATGTTTTCACATTTGACTAATGAATGAAAAGTATTGTTCATTTATGTGTTTCATTGCAAACGTTTTTCACACAAATGTGTCATTGATTGTTGGGTCTTTGAGGAATGCTATTTGTCAAGTGCAGTTGTTTTTGTCAGGGCAAGACCGGCTTCGTTTTGGTCACATCATCTGATGAGTGGATCAAAATGAATTCATTTCACTTTTACTAATGCGTTTTTTACTAATGCGTTTCACCATAGACTGGAAGTATAGACCAGTTCTCATTTCTGGATTTGAACTATTAAGCCCGGTTTACACTATCAAAGTTTCTCTGATCACAAGTAGGAATGATAACAGAAACTTTGATAATGTAAACAGGATTTGAAATTTGCAAATTTGGTTTTGGATACAGTACCAAACTGTGAATGACTTGTATCCCGATTGGATACTAAGAAAATTTCAAACATTAAGAAAATGTTAAACACCTTTGATGGGCTCCTTATACAGCTTTTCAATACTACCTGTTTGCCACCAGCCTTTCTTTATTGAGGACTAATATATAGAAGTTTGTTGAAGGATTATGTGGATTAACATTTTAGTGTATTAATGAATTGCTTAGTAAGGCTTAGTTGTTGACTGTTGAGTCTCCTGTTGTTATTGTAATTTGTAACAGTGAGAGTTATGGAAACTTATTTGGATGGGACACTGGGTATAATACTTATGGTAACCTGCAGTATCCAGAAGTGGGATACTGGATTCTCAGGGGGATACTAAACTTTGAATCCTGGTATCCCAGTTGGGATACTGACAGAGCCTTTATGGCTGCAGATACTGACAGAGCCTTTATGGCTGCTGCACCAAAACTATAGAATGTATTGCCATTGAATCTTAGGAGTATCTCTGATTTTAATATATTTAAGCAAGATCTTAAGACATATCTTTTTTAGAGAGGCTTTCTATTAGCTTAGTTCTTAGATTAAAATTGTAATATTGGTTCTACGTATTTTAATTGTCATATCCATTGTTGTAACACACATTTGAAAACTGCATTGTTGAATTTGCGCGATATAAATTAATAAATGTTATGTTATACTGAGAAAAAATGTAAATTTTCGACCCTGGTGTAAACCACACTTCACATAAAATTCTCATGAATATAAAAAAAACCAGACTTCACATAAAATTCTCATGAATATAAACTCCTCTGCACATAAAAAAATTATCATCAACAGATATTTCTCCAGGACAATATTCAGAGATTTACAGTGGGTTCCTTTTCAGTATCTTTTCTGTGATTGTTAATTTGTAGTGGTTTCAATCATGATGATGGTTACATGATATGCTGTGATAAATGTAGTGCTTGGCAACATGTGGAATGTGTAGGAATCAACTGTGTGCCTGATACATATCTCTGTGATATGTGTGATCCAAGGCCACTGGATAAGGAGAGAGCAAAACAGATACAAAGGAAGAAGTTGGAGGAGCCAACAGGTAATGTTTTCTATATGAGTATTAGCACCATCATCTGAAATTCACTACCACCATCATCATCTTTATCACTGCCATCCTCTTTGTTGCCATCATCCTCTTCATCACCACCATCCTCTTTGTCACCATCATCATCTTTAACATAATCATCTTTATTACCCTCATCATCTTTACCCTCATCATCTTTACCATCATCATTTTTACCACCATCATTTTCTCACCATCTTTATCCACCATCATCATTTTTACCACCATCATTATCTTCACCATCATCTTCACCACCACCCATATTATCTTCACCACCACCCATTATTTTTATTCTCATCATCTTTACCATCATCATTTTTACCACCATCATTTTCTCACCATCTTTATCACCATCATCATTTTTACCACCATCATTATCTTCACCATCATCTTCACCACCACCCATTATTTTTATTACCATCATCATTTTTACCACCATCATCTTTACCACCATCATCTTTACCACCACCATTATCTTTATCACCATCATCATCTTTACCATCATCTTCATTTTTACCACCACAATCGTCTTTACATTATCTTTATCACCATCATCATCTTTACCATCATCTTCATTTTTACCACCACAATCGTCCACAATCATCTTTATCACCACCATCATCTTTATCACCATCATCATTTTTACCACCAGAATCATCTTCACCACCAGAATCATCTTCACCACCATTATCATCTTCACCACCATTATCATCTTCACCACCATTATTATCTTTACCACCATTATCTCTTCACCACCATTATCATCTTCACCACCATTATTATCTTTACCACCATTATCTTCACTACTACACCATCATCATCATCATCATCATGACCCTACCACTACCATTATCACAACCATCATGTTCACCACCACCATCATGTTCACCACCACCATCTTTACCACCATCATCTTCACCACCACACCATCATCATCGCCATCATGACACTACCATTATCACAACCATAATCTTCACCACCACCATCATTTTCTTCACCATCATCTTTACCACCATCATCACCATCATGACCCTCCCACTACCATTATCACAACCATCATCTTCATCATCACCATCATGACACTACCATTATCACAACCATAATCTTCACCACCACCATCATTTTCTTCACCATCATCTTCATCATCATCACCATCATGATGCTACCATTATCACAACCATCATCATCACCATTATTCCACAGCCACTAACCATATACTTTATAGGTATCATCATTCCAAATCCACCATTAACTGTGTTTTTATTTCCTAACAGATGAAGAAGATGATGAGGATGGTGATATCAGTGACCATGACAGTGATAATGGAATATCCAGAGTCTGTCTACCAAACCCATCATCAGCCATGAAGGAGAACGTTCTAAGTAAAGGCAAAAGAAAGAAACGGGAATCGACAAGAAAACTTAACCAAAAGGAAATGAAACATAATAAAAGAAAGGTAAGTTTTATCAATTTATCATACCCTATTTTTGCAAACAGGATGTTGTTCTATGCGGTTTAACAACCAGAACAAATGTTGTCCCAAGTTTTGACTGGAAACTTTGTTCTTCTTTACAGCGACGGAAAAGGAAGCATATGTCATCGACGGACACAATTCCAGGTTCGAAACATTCACATTATGTTGGGCAATATTGTCTCAATATTACTAGCGAAGTCTGTTTATTGCTCTGCTTTATTCCTTATCTTGAAAACCTTTCTATATAGCTACACTAATAACAAAGATGAATATCTAATGTTGTATTTTTATAGTCGATGAAGAGACGAACGGTCCATGGCCATTTCCCGAGTAAGTGTAAAAGCGTGATGGTTATAAATTGTGTTGCATACAAAGTTTAGATTTGCTGCAAGTATTAACATCATCTTGTTGACAAACTGAGAGATTTTCACAGCTATATTTGTACATTTTGTTTATTAGACACAAGCATTACGAAGAAGCTCCTAAGACAGTGTACATCGGAGATTGGGGAAGTTGCGCCTTTCCTTTAGAGGTGTGAAATAATGAAATATATCCACATTATCAATTTTGTGATTTTTAAAAGTTTTTGTCAAACTTTGATTTTACTGATAATTGCATAATATGTAGACTGGTTTACACTATCAAAGTTTCTGTGATTACAATTGGAATTTTGTATAGTTAAATTCCATGTTTTGAAGGATTTGTAAGAAATGTTTGAGGGAAATGACTTAGTGTTTAACACTCTGAATCAATTCCCTCAAACAATTCTTGCAAATCCTGTGCAATTCCTACTGTGATGACAGAAACTTTGATAGTGTAAACAAGACTTATGCCTTCATTGTAACTCATCCAGCAAGTTACTGTTGTGTGTACGTATCGCCCAAATTCGCGTCTATATTTTCTCTCAACAGTCGAATGCAAGTCCAAACAGCATGCTGAGACCCGAACAGATATGTAAAGTCGTGGACGTACAGAAGAATAAAAAGGTAGATTATATACTGTATATACCAGAAGATGTGTTTTCGTGTGAAGCAATATGTGTCTTTAAGACTGATACAAGCATAGATATCTTATATACACTAGATAGCGCATCTCATTTAGTAAAATTGAAGCCAAGAATATTCCAGCGGTTACCCCCATTTGAATAGATGGCGGCCATGTTGGTCGTTCCCACTTGCTAGTAAACGCTTAAAAACAACAATAACTTTCATTATTTGAATAGTTTAAAAACGTATTTGGAATAGGGTTAACTTAATGTTTAAGTTCCCTGTTTAAGAAATAGAAAACATACGAATCTTCTCATTTCATGGGAACGACCTGAGACTGCAATCACGGCTTCAATTTTTGAATTGCAGAATAATTAGATGCACTATCTAGTGTATATAAGATATCTATGGATACAAGGCATACAAGATAAATCCTGAAGAAGTCATAGTAGTTACAGGATTAAAACAGTTTCCTACTGCAGGATATATGAATATTTTTGATAAAACTGTTACGCTGTAATTTCCGTATCGAGTTAGTAGATGAATTAGATATTCAATCATTTCAGTAATCAGGTATTTACTAATTCAGATATTCAATCAGTGTAATTTTCAGAATTAGCTATCAAACATCAAAGAAATATCTGTGAAAATTTCTGTGCATCCCCAAATAATTTTTCTGTGAACCAGGTTCCGATACTTTTTCACCACCTCTGTGTACCATATTGATTGAGAAACAAACCAGCATGATCTTGATAACCCACGATATGGATTGGTACAAGACTCTTAGTAAGACTTGAACATTGAATATTGAAGATTAACATTGAAACATTTCAGGGTGTTGTGGTGACGGAGGACATTAACGGACAACAAGTTATAATCGAATGTAAAGGAACTCTGATGTTGGAGTCAAAATTTAAAGAAGATCATCCCATGTTCTCCAAGTACGAATTGTTTCTATTTGTCGCATCTATCAAACACGTAGATTTTAGAAGGAGTTTTCTTACACGCCGCTGGGAGCTGCTGCAACATCAGCCGCAAGCTTGACATTTATCGCACGATGCTCGCTTTACTACAAACATACATTACATAGAAATACTGTGCTGAGTGGTTATATTACTACCTTAAAAAATAAGCAGAAACTCGACGTTTCAAGCGAAGGCCCTTCGTCAAGAGTTATTACATAACCTAACCTGTCCGTTCTAACTTTTCTCAATAGCAAAGGGTGGGCGGGTGGGACTTGTGTCAAGCTGCGGTGGGCAACAACAAAAATGTGCTCATCTAACCTGCACCACCCGATAACATTTTCCGCTTCTTTCGTAGCCAGCGGAAAATAACACTTTTGAAGAGATTCACAACACGCGACACTGAAATTCGACATGTAACTGTGTTCAATGGTCTTTCTTTGTAGATGTGATCCGTTTGTTCTATATTATACGAAACTTGAGCTTGTGATGAACTTCTCTGTTTATGGAAACGACGCACGCTTCATTCGCAGATCATGTTCACCAACTGCAGAGGTATACTACTATACGACGAAACAGTTTTTTTATATTCAGTTTTTTACTGGCGAATTTTCTCGCACGAATTGACAATGTGTGCACGTCTGACAATTGATGCTATTCATCTATTTATGCCAGAGGCTGTGTTGACAATACTGTAATATCGAAAAACCGAGCCCGTTGCTTAACAGGATTGCATCAACCTGAGCGGTTTTACGCTTGTTCACACTTGTCAACAATATTGAACAATATTGTTGAGCCTGAATCGAGTGTAACCATATTGTTCAATATTGTTGACAGCTATGAACAATGTGGGCAGCAAAACATTGTTCAATCCTGTTTTCATCAGTATTGCATCAACCTGAGCGTTTTTACGCTTGTAGTCTTAGAAGTAGATCTTTTGATGAGCGTATACAGTATGTACACCTGTCTGATGTTTAAACTCTTCTCTATCACACTTTAGGTACGTCATGTTACGGTTGACAACAAACCCCACCTTGTTGTCGTCTCCATGAGTCCGCTGGCGAAAGGAACCGAAGTAACACTGGCGTTCGAGTTTCCGTTCCAGGAGTACAGACGTCAGTTGGATTGCGCGTGCGCTCGGGATGATTGCAAGGTTCAAGACCACAACACGGCGATACAAAGAGTGGAGCAGACGAATGGATATCGAAGTAGTAAGGATGAACATGGCTTGGTCGATAGCAGTCTCAGCAATCATGTACGTTGATATATACTACTTTCATAATAAAGACGGGTTTAAATTAATAGAGGAATACCAAATGGTTTTCGTGAAGGATAGCGTCATCCATGCACGCGGAGTGTAGCGAGAATGTTGTTTCAATACCACAATAGTACGGAATAAGGATCAGTAACAAAAGGGCCCACTTAGCGATGCAACGTGTCCTCTTTTTTTGTACAAAAATATGCAGTTTACTGGCCAGAAGGGCGGAGCAGCCAGCCAGTACAGCGTGTTTATTGGCTAGAATATGTAATTGACTGGCTAGGGAAATGGCGGCCAACATGCGTAATGCGACATGCGGGAGGACAGAAACTTCAAAGCTTCCGATGTAAGTGGCCCTTCTGTATGGATCTTTATTCTGTGGCAACAGCCTACCGGTATAGACCCATTGCACTGTGTCCTCCAGATGCTCCCTAACAATATCTATTCGGGTAGAACAATCATATACAGCGCAAAAATTAACTATTTTAATACAACAACATTATAAAGTTTTACAAAATTCGCTTCGTTTACAAAAGTTATATTATGCATACACCCCCTGTTGATTGCTAATTTGTCCTCCCGATGCATTTTCACCGGCGCTGTGACGTCGTGTACAATGGGTCTATACATAATTCTAATGTTTGTTTACCTTCGTTCTTTCTCTCAGTTCTGAGAACGTGCGAGAACACCTGCCCAGTACACCACCTGTTTCGCGCGGGCACGTAGAGACGACGGTCGGTTAGAGCCTCGCAAATGTTCTCCATCAATTTCACGATCTCCTTGACATTTCTAGATGGACAGCGACTCAGACGCTGATAACAACACGAAGGACAAGAGGAGTAGAAAGAAGTTGTCTCGCGAAGACAGGAAACTACAGCAATATCTACGACAATTTGAGAAGATGGAAAAAACTGAAAAGAAAAAGCAACAGCATACGAATGGACGTGATGGCCGCACTGGCATTTTAACGCAACGGTAAGGAAGGATTTCCGCTTCATCAAAATATTTCGCTTGGTTTCTTTTGAATTTGTGACCATTCGAATAAACCAGTTCTACCTGACTGCTCACGATTCAAAAGAAATGCGTGATTCTAGCTATGCGAAATTTTGATTTAAAGACAAGAAGGGCGAAATCCAACACCACACCTAGAAGAAAGAGCATCTTAAAATGAGTAAAATTGCAAAGTTTGGTTGCGAAATGTTGTAAAATGAAGAAAATATAGCCCTGTGAAGTTCGCAAATTTTGCATGTATTTGTATTACTCGCGGTAAAAATAGCCATTTTTGAGCGGATAATAATACAAATAATGTCCCTTGAAGCCTAGTACTACAATGTCTACGACTGTTAGAACACCTGTTTGTTTTTTAATAGGAACTACCCAGACGAATATAATGGGGATACGCCGTCAAAACCAGGCAAAGGACTAAGGTAATTATATTATATGAGCACTATACAGTACCTCGAGTAGCCTGGGAACAGGCTCTCAAGCTGAATTGAGAGCCTGCGTCGATGACTAATGAATTTGAATATCTGCCCCGTAACGTTCGTTTGTCCAAATATGGAATGTTTATCCTTATATGGTGTTGTTTACAACTTTCGTGCAAACTAAATTTAGACCGTGCAAACTAAATTTAGACCGTACAGTTTAT